ATCTCTCCATTTGTATTCTATGCTCTAAGATAAACCTATTTTCTTATACCAAAAATAATAAAAATGCCTAAGGTAATTCATTCATTCATCATTCATTTTTCTTCCTTACAAGGTAAGTTGCTCTGTCTTAATTTTTGGTAAAAGGCCACACCATGTACAATGTCTAAATATTACTGAACATTTGTTAAATAAATACCAACTAAGTGAATGGATGAAGAAACGAACATATTACAAATGTTTGTTGTTGTAAGACATTGAAACTTTAAAGATTATGACCTGCCACTTAACTCAAAAATGTAAATAATTAATATCAGAACTTTTAAATTTTTCCTTTAGGATACAGGGCTAAGAAACCTAGAGGGCTTAAAGTGGAAGTTGGCACAGATCTAAAAAGGGACAGCTGGGACCACAGAAAACAAACAGAACCCTTCAAAGACTTCACAGCTTTGTCAAGGAAGGTTCTGTTTACCATCAGCTAGGAGGAGACAAACAGCAGGTTTATTGAAATATATTTGTTGTGTTGGGTGCCTTGATAGAGAGTTCAATTTCCAGGAATTTTTAGTGATTTATTATATGACTTAAACATTCTTATATAGAAATATTTTTCCCTTTGAAAAATCCTTTTCACCCATCCCGGTCAATGATAGATCATTAAGTCTGTTTGAAAGCTAGGGACAGAAAATTTACCTTCAGTTTCAAGCTCAAAAAATATTTTTGTTTATTAAATACTTATGCTTTAAAATATTAAGTTGCTTTATGGAAACTTAACATTAGAACACAGAAAGTGGAATCAAATTAGAAATATACTTTTTTATAAATGCCATAAATTTCCTCAAGGAAGTTTATATATTCAACTTTTATAAGAAAAAAAAAACTCCTTGTATATTCTAGAAACATAAGGTATGTATTGTGTTCTAATTGTGTTCAATTCATAAGCTTTGGTAAAATAGGCCTCCTTGCCAAACATATATCAATATTAATTTGGCTAATCAACTGGTACTTAATGACTCAACGCGGAACTATTTTATTACTTTTCTCTAGCTAATCTATTGCGGCAAAGATATATTGGTTTTCCATGAGTAAAGCCTTCTAACTCTTCTTATCACTTCCACCCTCACATCTCAGACAGAGTGATGAGTGGTCAATGTAAAGAGATGAGAAGCAGGGAGGAGAAAATGGGACAGGTGTTACCAAAAATGTGAGGACAACAAACTATGGCCTAGCACTGTTCTCTGCATGATCTGGCCATCAGCTCATCCATCTATAAAATGAGTAAATTGGATTCAATTATTGCATTTCCCACTGACTCTGAAGTAGTGTGTTCTACTTTTGTTTGAAGGTCCTCGTTTAAAAAGAAGATATCACTCTTTTACTTGCTTCAGATGTCACTAGCTGTAAGAATCGTGTCTAGCTATATTCTGGAAGACCACATTCCCAAAAAAGACTTCACAGTGGCACCGTCCCTATTCAAAAGGGAAATTGAGCTGAGACATACTAGAAAGATCTATACCAAGGGCCTGCATATGTCTACATTGTACAACAGCCTGGATGACTTTTGACCTGAAGCAGCTTACTGACACAGCCAATAACATCACACATAATAGAACACACATCTTGTAAGTGACCCACAGCTAGTGCTGAGCACCTTAAAGAATCCAGGAAATACATACTTAAAATGTAAACTGCCTAAACAGAATAGCTACCGAAGGATCTGGAAGCACATATCCAAACTACTTCTCTGGGGTTAAATAGGCACAGTTTAGGATTCTTCAATGGTAACTACAGTAGTCTTGCTTTTAAAAGCCTCAATAATTTTTCAAGACATGTTTACCAAAAGACCACACCTATTTCCTCTAATAAAGATTTAGCCTAATATTACTGGATCTGTTTAGGGCATAGAAATAAAGCATGCCTTCCAGAGATTGGAAAAAAAGGGAGAAAAACAGCCTTTTAGAATTAGAAGGTACCACTCTAATCTGAAGCTTGTACTGTCCTTTTCAATCGTTGCCGAGAAACAATTAATAAAGGAACCCATTAAGACCTGATTATTGCCGCTAAAAAAGGAAGGTAGAATTTCAATCCTTTGAAGTAACTGAGAATGATTCAGGCCTCATTACAGAGATATAATCTACATTCATACATTTATGTTAGTGATTCAAATCTATTGGGAGAGATTGAATTCCGTTAAATAGTGCATCTTTCCTGTGGAACTTTTCTCAGGCTTTCTAGGGCTAACCTAAGAGGTGACCTAACAATGCAAAGCGGCTGAGTATTTAGGGATTCAACTGTGCTATAAAAGAAAGGCTGTACAGAAAAGAAAAAGAAGAATGAGATATAATCTAAAAAGCTATGTCAGCTTTTCCTTTGGGCTATTTTGTAAATGCCCTTCCTGTCATCACGCTGTACAGAAGAGAGGCAAAAGGCTCTAGAACTTTTAAACACTGCACCTGCTGCAAACTGATTTTAATATGGAAGTTATGAGGATGCGGGTTCCCCATTTCAGACAGAATAAAAATATAAAACCTCTAACTTTAATATCTGAATAACTTCTTCTACTGGAGAAGAAAGTCGATAGGCTTGTGTGTGTGTGTGTGTGTGTGTGTGTGTGTGTGTGAGAGAGAGAGAGAGAGAGAGAGAGAGAGAGAGAGAGAGAGAGAGAGAGACTAAGGATGTAGTGGGGGGTTCCATTGTAAGTTAAAAAAAAAGCATCTCAAGTTGGCACCAATAGTGTTGATGCCCAGTGTAGAGAAACCTCAAAATAATAACTTCCTGTGTTTTGTAACTTTTCACAGTAGAATCTTTATTGTATGGTTTCATCAAATATAACTTTAAAAAAAAAAAAACATGTAGTTTTAATTAGTTGCCAATTCGACATTGACTTCTGCTGAACAATTGGGCTGAAACTCAAGTCCCTTAGAAACACTATACTCTTTCAAGCATTTGTCAGCTCAGGTACAAAACTGTGAACTAGAAAATTGAAATTAACACTAAGTGTTCATCTTTAAACATCTATGTTTTAATGAAAGAACAAGACTTGTTTGACGTATGCTCTTTATTTGCTTAACTCTCCAATTAACAGCTACAGAAATCAGAGCTAATTGTATTAAATTTAAAAATCGACTGTGGTATTCACCACATTGTTGAAATCCTCTGAATAAGCACTGCAATGGGTAATAAATAATGCAATTAAAATGCTGATTCTACTATTCAATGGTTCTATTTCAAAGACTGAATGCACAAGAAGATATAAGGGCAATCTAAAGTAATTTTTCAGGTCACTACACAACATAATTGGGCAACTATTCCTAATGTCCATCTCCAAAGCGAGCTTTTACATGTCTTTCTATTTTCTCCTTTTCACAATGAAGACCGAGAGAGCAAATGCACACTAGGGGGATTCTGGATCTTTGTATATACATTAACTCTTCTGATTGGTTACCTTGGGATTACAGTTGCACAAGAGAAATTTCCACCTTCGCCTTGAAGTTATTCTCCCTGTTAGACTAGCATTCTCAATATTAAGTTGAACCATATAAAATTGCCACTTTTAAAAGTAGAAAATTATGAACTATTGGCAATTTCATAGGTATCAACATAACACAATGTTCAGCTACTGTATATAACATAAATACTTCCTATCAATACATCTTTAGGTATAAACTGTCTTCCCCTAGTTGAGAGTAATTAAAAAACTGATCCTCCAGGAACTCTCTTAGGCAAGTTGGTAAACATGATCACAATATTTCCCTCCTGTGCCTCTTAATTACTGACAAAGTCTTCCTAGTCAGCACTTGGTTCTGTCTATACCAGGGTGGGTGTGAACAAGTCTCTCTTAGCCATGAGGGAGTGCGATGAGGTGGTGAGTGTGTGGCTGGCGGTGCAGCTACAGAGTGAAGCAGAACCCCTTAAACCTTAACTTGCAAATAGAAAAAAAAGAAAGAAAGAAAACGCCCCTTTATGGTAAAGCTCAAAGGCAATTGCACAGAAAAGATAACAGTCTGCAGAATATTCCGCCCAATGGTGCGGTTAAATCATCATCTCAATAAAGTGCGTTCGCTTTGAAGTGGACGCGTGATTCAGTAACGACTCATGTTAGCAATTAGAAATCGGTCATTTCGGTCCCCGATTTCATTTGGGCCAAGAGGGAGACGACTTTTAAGGGTGACAATAAATCTCCCGGAGCTTAAAAGGCAGAGAAGGCCAAAGTGTGAACTTTTTACTTCGGCAACGGAAGCGAGAAATCAGTGATTCATTAAAGCAGAGACCTCCTTGGAAGCTGGCAGCAGCGGAGGAAAGGAAGCTAATTATGTCTCCCTTTTCTGTGCTCGCTCCCAACAGTTTAAAATCTGCCGCTTTGCAGGGTTTTAGCCTCAGCATCCTCTGCTTTCTCCCCAGGCCTCCCCTCCTCCTGGGAGCGAGAAGGGGGTGGAAAATCTGCCGTGCACCAGGCTCCAGGTGGTTCTCCAGCACAGCCCTGCCAAAAGAGGGGGGGAAATCTACGCTGGAAAACAAGTGAGGAAGGGCTCCCCAAGAGGGGATTGGTTCAGGCTGGAGGACGGCAAAATTCGGAAAGCAGGAGCTCGCAGCGCGCGCGGGCGGCCGGCGCGGGGAGCACCAGGAGCCTCAGCAGCAATTAGCCGGGGCTGCAGGCGCCGGCCGAGACCGCGGCGGCGAAGACCGGACCCCGCGGCCCCCCAGCTCCGCGCCGAGGCACCGCGCTCCGCTCTCCCGGCTTCCCGGCCCTCCCCGCCCGCGGCCCCCTCCCCCCGCCCCGGCGCTCCCGGCAGCCGAGGGTTTCAGATGTCCCACCGCCGCTTGACCCCCTCCCCCGCCTCCCCACCCCTGCAAGGGAGGCTTGACCAGCAGAGGCAGAGCCCACCTCTGGCTCAGAATCACTGACATTTAGACTCCAGGCTGCAACCTGTTTACAAGCGGGCTTTGCAAAGCAGGGGGGGGGAAGGAAAAAAGGCCAAACAAAACACCCACCGCCACCCCACCCCCCCACCCCCAAACAAGAAGTGACTTTCTGGAGACTTCACATCAACAGGCACCACCAAAAAGAGAAAGCAAGACGGGGAAGAAAACAACGGAGACCGGGCAGCTGCTCGCAGCTCTGACAACTCCAAGGGGACGCGCGTCCAGAGCTGCCGGGCAGGCTGGGGCTCTGCAGAGAGCGGCCAGAAGGTGCCAGCAGCAGAGGGGCACGGAGAGCTCCCCCGGCCTCCCCCCCCCTGTCCCGACCCCTCTGGGTTTTGTTCACCGTGCTGTCATCTGTTTTTCACTTTTTTTTTTTTTTAAACATCTAACATGGTGAAGAAAGGAGTCAAGAAGAGAACAAAGTAACTCCTAGGGGAGTGGACATCGCTGGTCACCAACACCATCACCGCCACCACCAGCTCCTGCGGCCACCCACGTCCACCATTCACCCGAGGCTGGAGAGGCGCAGAGGACCCCAGACAGGAGCCCGCAGAGGCAGCCGGCCCTTCTGAGGAGTTATGGATGTTGGTGCATTCACTTCTGGCCAGATCCGTGCCCAGAGGGAGCTAACCAGCGACCACCACCTCCGGCTGTCTCCTCGCCTTGCACCAGGTCTTACCCCTCCAGCATGTTCCTTCTGATGAGACAATTTCCAGTGCCGAGAGTTTCAGTACAATGTGGAAATGGATACTGACACATTGTGCCTCAGCCTTTCCCCACCTGCCCGGCTGCTGCTGCTGCTGTTTCTTGTTGCTGTTGTTGGTGTCTTCCGTCCCTGCCACCTGCCAAGCCCTTGGTCAGGACATGGTGTCTCCAGAGGCCACCAACTCTTCTTCCTCCTCGTCCTCCTCGTCCTCTCCTTCCAGCGCGGGACGGCATGTGCGGAGCTACAATCACCTCCAAGGAGATGTCCGCTGGAGGAAGCTATTCTCTTTCACCAAGTACTTTCTCAAGATTGAGAAGAACGGGAGGGTCAGCGGGACCAAGAAGGAGAACTGCCCGTACAGTAAGTAACAAATGCGCGTTCCCCTCCTTCCAATTATCCACCCCCACCCCACACGGGGGTAAAATCTGTTCCAGATGTGGCCAGCTAAATATTTACGTCCCCAACCCCTGTAAAATGATTAAGTGGAATACTTTCACACTAAATCACCCCCCACCAGTGTATACATTGTGCTGCTGCAGCCCCTCCCTTAGACCCTTAGACCCTTAGACGTGCTCCCTCCACTGCCCCCATCACACACCCAGTGCCACCCTAGCTGCCCCTTCTCTCTGGCTTGTCAGTCTCCGGACCACGCAGGGCGCCCTGGAGTTGCTGCAGAGCTTGGATGCCCTTCCTGGCCCTTCCCCACCTCATCTGAAGGTCTACTCTCCCTCCCTTCTGGAAATGACTCAAGTAAACACATTTTGTTTCTTTTCCCTGGCAATCTTATTAAGAGTTTTGGGACAGGCTCCTCAAGCTGAAAATAATTATCTGCTGTCAATTATAGGGGCTTTATGGGAACTTTAAGAAAGAAAAGTCAATTCCACTCACTCCCCACCCCCACCCTCTTTACCCCACCACCTCTCTCTAGATAGGAGCTAAAGCATTTTTCTGGTTTTGATTTTTTTTTTTTTTTTTGGTCCCTCTCGTTGGTTTGAGTGATTGCAGTCCATGAAGTTAGCTTTTCAGGCACCACCGCTGCTATTTGTCTTCTGCCTGCCTTCTCTGTTGGTAACATGATGCTCATGTCTGCATTGTCAATAGCATATGCGCTGCTTTGTGGTGTCCTGTTGTACTCATTTCTTCTAAAACCTCTCATATTGCAGTGCTATACTACGACAGCATTGTAAACATCTGGGGCTGGATCCACACAGACCTCACACAAATTTCATTGTCATTCTTTTATTTTCAAAGTAAAAGTCATAAGTCGGTTTCCATGGCTATAGTTTATCCCATAAGATGAAGTTTTCTCCTCAGTACAAATTACGCCTCGGATCCCTGGGTTTCTTTCCTTTTTCTTTTCTCTAGCTCCTTCTCTAGTTCTTTCTCCTCTTTCTTTCTTGAAGGGGCGTGGACTGGGCAGGGGGCGGGAGAACCAGAAGAGGAGGGATGGATACTGTGTCTCTTCTTGAATCAGTCCAGCAGAGCCAGATTACTGTTGGTTTTCTTTCCTAGTTTCTTTCAAGTGGAGAGACTTATTCATCCTCTATTGACTGCTGTTTGAAAGGTTCCTGAGGCTATGTAATGGCGCCCTGAAGACAGTAGACAATGATGTTTAAACATTTTTTAATGACCATTTAGCCTTATCAAAATGGTACTTCCAAGTCACCTTTCAAAGGAACTTTTCTGTTTCTGGTTTGGGAATTTCCCTCATATATTTGTGGCTCACTTAAATACATATTTCATATATCTCAAGACTCCTTGGTCATTCATGGGGATGACAATTAGCCTGAATTTAGCATTTTCTTCTTAAATAAAAATTTGCAAGAATTAAGACTAGTGTCCTTCCTTCAGGACTCACCTCCATTCAACATTAACTTGCATTCCTCTTCAACTGCTACCTACATTTACTAAAATTATCAATATATTTATAAGTAATAAGCATATTTACAGAACTATTTAAAGTGTTCCATTCATGTTTAATATTAGAGATATTATATACTGAATTGCCTTTTCTCCCATTCTGATTTATACAAAGTAGTGGCGATAATGTTATTTATGATGAAGAGGTTTCTTTTTCAAAAGCCATAGGTTACTTGAATTCATGGGCTACTGTGTATAGATGTTATAGTTGTTGCTTGAAAATTTAATACCAGTGTTTACTTCTAGAATGAAACAGACATAGTATCATTCAGGTAGGATGATGAGGAAGAAGTGGTTCAAACAGTCACTGAAGGGTGAGCCAGGAGTTTTAAAAGAATAACTATTACCTTGGACTGAATTTTTTTTCTTTTATTTTTAGTTCAAGGAAATAAGACAAAGAAATATAATAAAATTTCAGTGTGTTCACATTAAGAAAACTTTCTTCCTTTTCCCACTAATTATTGCTATATTGTGTCTCCATTATGCGATTGTAAGGACCAATCTGCACTAGTTTATTTATGCAACATCAATTACTATTTCCTAAAATAATGATCACTGCATGATTATTTAGTCAAATGATTTCTAGGATACACATTTTCACTTTAAGAATTATCTGCAAGGAGAAAAGTGTACAATTTTTATTGAATCAAAAGCAAGTATGGAGAGTTTTCTATCCTACCTGTTCAAAATATATTAATATCTCTTCCATATAATAAAGTATACTAATAGTTTTCGTTAAATGACAGTATCTTATATGGTAGTACAATCTTAATCAATGCTTGAAAATGAAAGTGGAGGGGCTTACTGTGCTAAATAAAATCAAACCATAAATAATTTAGGTTTTCTAAGAACATCTGTATCAAAACATAGCAAGTGAAAAGTAGAGGTTGAAAAAGCCTTAATTTCACATGTGGCAGGGTAATCAGAACGCTGCTACAATTTCCAGCTGGACTGATTCAGCTGAACTACATGGTATCATTAAGATATTGTCTAAATGTTGCATAATTACATGTGAACAAACTTTTGCCATGCCTGCAGGGTACCAGCCAGCCAGCCCACCAAATGGTAGCCTGTTAAATATTAGGGTATCTAACCTCTGAAGAGTGTCAGTTCCTTGTCCAAAAACCACATTTCAGTAACATTTTCCTAAACAAGTTATTAATTATTCTCAAAACACAGAGCTGTTCTTTTGAGGTTTGCTTATTTGAAGCTTAATTTTCTTTGTTACTTTTGACATTAATATTATTGCTGCTAAAATACAGTAATAGCTTATCTAAGAGGTTACATGTTTGTGATGTCCTGGGTAATTAAACAACCGTTTTACTGGCTTGTTGCCAGCAAAATGCTAACATAAGGGAAATAATGAAATCACTCATAAGCATTGCAAAATCATTTTTAACTTCTACCTCCAAAGCTGGTTCCCGGAAATTGGATAGTTCTAAAAATATTACATGTGCTAAAGAGTGGAATAAAGGGAGCAGAGATGAATTATGTTTCTCCTGTTAGAAGTCTGAGAAAGCTTGAATAATTTAGAATAGCTGTGGTGTATCTGTCACTAGATATGTGCAGGCTCATTTAGGTTTTGCTTTATCATTCTTTACATCTAGAGCTTTGCCCTTGAAACATTACCACTCCAGTTCTAACCTCAGAGAAAGGCTGGATACAGCTGTTAGGGACCCTTGCAACTGGGACTGGTGGACTTATTTCTGGACATAAGTAAAACAGCTGTGGGTGTCTCCCATGGCTGTCAACTTGCAGAAAAGGGGAGTTGAGTGAAAAGAAAATGTATTTCTAAACTCCCAAAGTGAAAAGCCATAGAGCATAAGTGTCTTTCCAGGAAAGGAGGGTGGGCCTCTAAAGAGAAATCAGTGTCTAGTATGTGCTCTGTCTCCTGGACTAAATATCTCCTCTGACACAACAGTCCTATGATTTAAACACAACTAGTCACAGTTTTCAGAATAAAAATTAAATCTGAAAAAGTACATTGCCTAAGGTCACCCATCTAGAATTTGGCAGAGCCCTTATTCAAGTCTAGGTCTATTTGGTTATGTCATGCTTTCTTTCTTTTACCTCTCTGCTACTGGCAACAGTGAGGTCAATATATTAGGAATAGATACCCCCAAACCTTACAAATTATCCCACACCTTAATTACTTCTTACTGTGAACACCAACAGTTCCTCAAAATTAAATTGGAACAGTAGTAAAATGATAATGGAACAGAAATGAAAAGGTATCATTACAGGTGATGACATGGTATTAGGCAATATCTGTGCATTCTCTAGGTGAAATATCTTTTGAGATCTTATGCTTGGGAATATAAATGCTTCTGGACACACACAAAAATCACAAATATCAGTTTCATTTTTATTTTAAGAGAGGGCATTAGAAATACATAACTATTTAAGAAAAATCCAAGTATGTCATTATATATAGTAATTGTTTATAGCTAAGGAACAAATATTTAATTGATCCCACATGTAGTAAAATAATTTGATTGTAAACACTAGTGTGAAATTGTACTATTGCAGAAACTTCTGATATATGATTCTAAAAAGGGCAACATTCTTAGAAACCTAAAACATACACACAGAGGGAGAGAGAGAGTGTGAGACAGGGAGGAGAAGAGGGATAGAGAAAGGGAACCTTAAATTAAGTCTGCACATCAAAAAGGTGCTTCACCACATAAAAGTGACAGATTATTGTCTAGGATTAATGATTTGCATTATTTCATTTTAATCAAGACTAGAGTTCATTGCAGAGAGTTAAATAAAGTGAGAAAGTAATTGTAAAGAAAAATAGGGACTCAAATATTTTCTCCTAATAAATATACCAGAGTTTTCTGGGAAGAACACTTATATACAACTTTTGACTTCCACTTGTGTCTTATTTAAGTTGTGGTTATTTCTAGTCTTTGGTTGAATAATTTATAACCAGCAGCATTTAATCATGAGCATGGAGGATTTATGAAGGTGGAAAGCACTGTATTTAATGTTTACGTGACACTGTCCTGTTACCTTCACAGCATCCCTACCATATGGACCCTCCACTTGGATGGCCTTATCATAAATCCATTAAAATGCACAATTACAGAGAGTTTCCTCTTCATAAATCTGATTTATCACCATCTACTAGTAGAAACCCAAGAAAACAGTTGGCAGTGATCACATGCAGATTTTGGAGCATGCCTTTGGCCTCTTGGCACCAAGAGTGTGCACCAAGCTTTTAAAACAGGTGTTTTCAGAATGATGTTTAAGATCAGAATTTAAAAGAATTATGTTTCGTAGCGTGATGGTGACCCCAGAGGATGCATTTTTTTTCTTCTACCTTTTTTCCTGCAAGTTTAGAGTGATAAGTCTCACTCCAGTTCCTTCCTTTCATGTTTAATGAACTTATAGAAGAACATAAATGTTCACTTAAAACTCCTGTGCAATCACCTTAT